CGCGAACGAAGATGGCCCCGTTACCTCTGTCACCGTTCGTCTATCCGCTGTCCTCTCGTTTAACGTCCGCCACGGTGTCACCGAGATTCCGCTAATTGGACGGCAGATGTTCTCTACGAGAACGAAAGACTACGAGCGGACGCGAGGATTGCAACATGTATCCGGTGGAAGTTTGGCGAACGTGTTCGCTGTTCACTTGAAATTTCTGTACTGTACGAGTTTTCGTGAGATCCTTGATTATTCACATTACGAGAATATCTTTCACTGCGATTCTTAAATTTTTATATTCCATGTAAGTTGTATTCTTTATTTCATACATTTCATATATTAATTCGATTGAAAACCTGCTGTCTCTGTGTATCTTACACTCATTGTCAATTTGGCGAACGAGGAGGATTTTTTACGTGTATCGAAACCTATTTTATTTTGGCAGAGATATTTCAACCTCAATTTCCTCCGAGAAATTTGATTTTCACCCGTGGAGAAAATACTAAGACGGGACGACACTAAGACGAAATTAGTGGCGCGTGTAAAGCGAATCAATAGAAGAGAGCGACGATCGATAACGATAATTAAAACGATTTTTTCGCTCGCGGGGATGCAGAAGACTGAATCCCTTCTCTCGAATTAGTACGGTATCTCCATCGGAACATGGACGATCGCGTTCGGTGGATCGAGGTAACCAAGCACAACGACCATCCACGTGGACGTCCGAGTCAACGGTCGTTAAATTTAATGGGCCTGCTCGTTAATTCCATATACCGACGGTTTCGCGTACGCAATAACAAATTACGCAAACGACCCGCTTCGCTTCGTTCGCTTTGCCTCGCCTCGCCTCGCCTCGCCTCGCCTCGTCTTTCCTCTCCGCGTCTCATCGTGGACGTTCGCGAGCATTTTCATAATAACGTTACCCGGTCCAGGAGAACGAGAGCGTCGTCAATTAAGCGTGCGCCGCTTGAAACTCGACCGACCGGCCGAATTTCACCGGGGCCGAGGGATTAATTTCGACGTATGGTTCGAACGATAACGTTGCTGCAACCGCCGGCGATCACTCGCGCACATATACGTCACTATTGCACCGATGCGATATAAACATATCAACACGTTCGAGGCGGCGTCGGTCCCGGCGGACCGACACTTCGATATTCGTTTAGTCAACGTTGGCCCCGCGGGACCGACACGTACAATATTTCATTTTATCGGTGTCGGACGTTAATTGATGGGTGGTGTATCGAGTCTGATAAATACACTTGATTTTTATTAATATAGAAAATACACGTAAAAGGACTATAATTCATATAATATAAAAAATACTCGAATGTGTTAAACTGTATCAAAAGTGATAATGCGAGTCAGAGGACTGGCTGGCTAATTTCCGATTTTGTCACCCGAGTAATTTGATAATTCGATAATCACCCAGTTATGGGACTTGTAAGTGCACTATTTTGGTTGGAGGAAAATCAGTATTATTTGTGAAAAATATGATACGTGTGATATTATTATATTTTATGTTATATTGAAATTGAAAATTTCGATCATATTGCTGAAACTCGTATCGGTCTCGTCAACTCGTGAAAGTATTTGAAAGTATTACTAGTAAAAATTAGGTTAGATTACATAATAATAGGTCACGTGTATTACATGAAGCATTTTGAAATTGAAGACTTGGATTATACTAGTAAAATTTCAAATGAATGTGGAAATGTATGGAATAGTTATACATACTAATAATAATTTACATAGTATAAATTATACAATTTAATACCAGTAATATTGAATAACAGTGAACTTAATTGAAATTTTATTGATCTAACTGACATTCAATTACGAAGAGTTTTCCTGAGTGCTTCCAAAATTCACACTAAAATGTGTTCCTTCGTTTGATGTAGTATTTCGATATTTTATGAAGTGTTTTTTGTCAGTTTACCAAAAATAATCTAATGATATTTTTATTATATATTACTATTTAATATTACAATAATTAATAAATAATTGTAATTGCAATTGCATAGAATATTATACAGTAATAACATGATTAATATGTTAGAAATAAATACAGTTTCGTAAAAAGAAATAACGATAAAGAAATATTAAGTGAATTTTTGGGATTCTCAGGAAAACTAAATTCGATAACGTAAATTGATTGAAACAAGATTGTATACGGAATGTTTCGTTGACACAAAATCAATGCTTCATGGATTGAACACTTTTTCATTATAACGTATACACTATCGTTTGATGCATCGATGTGAAAAGACCATCGAATTTTATATATTCAGAAATAAAAGTTAACTATATTCATTCACTTTCAATCGAGAACTTTCAATCGCGAACAAAAAACCGCGTATTAAAAAAATTTCATATCATAAAATAGCTAAACGTGTATCTAGTGTGTGAATTTTTATGCATTTATAGGAAATTTTAAAATGCGAAACTGCAGACAATTCACAATTGCACAGTATGAAGAAGTATATAAAATATCCACACAGCACAATGCTTTCTGCAACATTCAGTATGTAAAACAATTTTCTGTGGAAGACTTATTTATTTAATTATATTCTCAAAGATGTAAATTTGCATAAAAAGTCCTCAGTTCCTACATAGTTAAGAATCAACATTTTATTTACAATTTTTTTTCGATCGATTTACATTATCCAATATTATTTCTCATTATTGAGACTACTGGCAAGAAAATTTTAAACATTCGTTTAATATTTTTTCATTATTCACGCCTCCTAATTAGATCCTATAGTTGTACGAAATTTAGAAAAAAAATTGAGATATTTGATAAATTATTGCTTGGCCATTAATGGGTTAAGAAAATTTATTTGGAAAAACAGAACGTATGTTTGCCATTCTATTCTAAAATCCGATCTAATACATAAAAAAAAAAAAATCAACAAGAGTTTCGAATGATCCGAATGTGCTTCCCGATTATAAGAAATCAAATTCAACACCTCTGAATGATGAAATGTAAGAAACCAAATTCAACGGCTCTGAATAATCGAGTTCTTCTCGAATAGTTAAAATCCGACCTAACATGAAACTCAACAGCTCCCATCAAATGATTCACTGAGTGTTCTTCTTGAACAGCACAGTGATACAACAATATTCGTCTAAAAATTCTCGCCGATCCTTTTACTTAAGAAACTTCTGCCTCGATAAGAAGGCGAGAAAGGCCTCACTGTTGCAACAACGTTGTCACAAACATCTCCGACAATTACTTAACCCTTGCTTCTCGAGCAAGGGATTTCTAGATCGACAACGCGGACGGCCAATGTCAAAGGTCGTCGAATAATTGTCTGTCACGACGCGTCCGAAACGGCACAGTTTCGTCACCATCGACGGATTCCTCCGGCTCTCTCTCTCTCTCTTTCTCTCGGCCTGCTATGTATCGTACGTCGGATCGCGAGTTGCTCTACGATTTAAGGAGCGTCGGCTTTATCGAGTCGTGACGACGATCGGTTCGATCCCCTTGGTTGCGACATCCGTTCACAGCTGGGGCAAAATTACGCCCGTTTCGGTTACATCGATCGCGACGTTCCTCTCTTAACGATCCAATACCGATCCACGTGTTTCGATCGAAAGTGCACGGCCACACTTCTTCATTGTCTAGAGGGAACTCCGATATCTTTCATTTAAAATAGTTCAATTTGAAATGTGGAATTTGTAAGATAAAAGAGAGGTAGGAAAACGGTCTGCAATTTTGTAAAATTAATTTCTGTGAAATTCGTTTCAAAAGTTTCTAGACCTTAGAATCTTCACGGCCAAATATTAAAATCTATGCTTTATTTGTTGAAAGTAGAACATAGTAATATATAGAATGCGGACAGATTTTATAATAATTTTTATAACAAACAATGTGCACTTTAAGTTTTTCTAAATCAAAAAAATGAAACCTAAACCTAAATAGAAATTTGTTTGAAATTTATACAACATGTCATAATAAATACTCTACTTCAGGTAATTTATGTATCTTTGCATGTTATCTTGTGCATACACGGAGTTATAAAAATATTTGAATATTTTTAGAAAATATTGTAAATATGTGTTGTATAAAAAGAAGCACTGATTGTTTCTTTAATATACAACTATAGCTACATATCCAGATTATCTAACAATAAGATTTACATATTTAGGATCTGTATGTGACAGAGAATTTGAAATAAACACCGACAAACCGGTGAG